CATTTGAATGAAGTGTAACCTCCAGACGGATCAAAAGTTTGCAAAAATAAGTTTCACAACTGGGTGACTCAAAACAGAATCCAAGCAGTTAGCAATTGTAATATGATGGTCGCTCCCTACCTGCTTTGTTCAGACTTTAAATCTACCAACTATCAAGGAGGAATGGTTTGAAGCTATACAATTCTAATATTACTAGCCAATTGCCCATCGAGAATGACAGGGAGCTGGGGGTGGGCTGGGATGTAGTGTCACCACCTAATGCCCCATGCTGCCACTGTTCTGCCTCTTGCAGGTAGTGGGGTGGGGGAGCTGAGGCCAGCTGGCCTCCAAGCACTGCTGGCCCTGGCTCCCCCATTCCCTGTCCGGTCCTCGGCACTGCTTGCAGGGAGCGGGGTGGCCTTGTCTCCCCCACTCCCTGTCCAGTCCTTGGCGCGGCTTTGGAATCATGGTGGCACTCCCCCACACTTGGAGCACTGGCTGTTTCTGTCAGCCAATAAGAGTGCGAATAAAGCGTTACAGACAGACAGACGTAGGCTTCCATAACGCTTTATTCACACTCTGATTGGCTGATAGAAACAGCCAGTGTGCTCTCCAAGCATGGGGGAGCACTGCCATTATTCCAAAGCTGCACTGAGGACCGGACAGAGGGCCTAGTAGCACTGGCCTCGGCTCCCCCACCCCGCTCCCTAGAGGCAGAACAGCGGCAGCGTGGGACATTAGGTGGCAGCACTCCATCCCAGCCCCCCCCCCCCCCCACCAATTTTTGACAGGCAATTGGCTAGTTGAACCCTGTAAAAACAAAAAGAGAGTTGCTGCCAAGGTGTGCACCCCAGGAAAGGGAAAGAAAGAAATCGCTGCAACGTTGTAACCTGCACCCAGCTGATCACTCTCTGCCAGGGATCCATGCCCAGTGAATGCTGCAAAGACCACTTACTGCCTGCATTGGTGAGAAACACTCTTGCAGCCAATATATACCAGGACTTTTGTGATAGCTCAGTTACTGAATATTGGGAAGGAGCCTTTTTTCTGTCATTTAGTTTTATAGCTTGTTGGTGGTATAGTTATTAAAGCCTTTCTGTCATTAATCACTAGGTTGGAATCCTGCTTTTGACTCAATGGCCAGAGCGAAAGCTGCATGCAGAAGAGAATTGGAGATTTCAACAGCCAAAAGGTAGTTCTGGGGGCAGCATCTTATATGAACACTTCTGCTGAAGTCATCTGCAATGAACTAATACATGGAGATCTGTTAATACTCAATATATAGGTTTCAAGGTTTAGTGATTAGGGAAGCTCATTTCTAACCAAGCATTTTTTTCACTGCTATCAATGCATCAGTTACAGCTGGGTCCCAGTAGGAAGAGTTTCTAGTCCACGCATTACAAGGAACAAGTCCATTTCCCCCCCCTTTTTTTTTTTTTTTTTTTTTTTTAAAAGAAAAATTCTGGAGTAAAAGGTGAAAACTGTTGGTCAATTCCAGGGCTGCAAGTTATGTAGGCTTCCTACAGTTCAGTACTAAAACTGAAATTTTGACTTTAGTAGCGTATACTAGGGCTGTGCAAACCTCCAGTCCCCGATTCGATTAGGCAGAGATTCGGCCCGATTTGGTGGGCAAATCTCTGAATCCGAATTGAATTAGGAGACCCTTTAATCTCTCCAAATCGAATCAGAACCTTCTGAATTGACTTGGAGAGATTCAATGATTCGGACATAGACAGCTTTAAATGTTTTTTCTACATACCTCCAAGTAGCAGGCAGCTCGTGAATGCTGCAGTGGTGGGGTGGATGGAGCGTCCTGCAGGAGGGTCCCCAGCACGCTTAGCAGCAGATCCGGAAGTGGACCAGAAGCACTTCCAGTCTGCTTATGGCTCTGCCAGGGAGTGTGCTGGGGGCCCCTCCCACACACTCCCGGCTCAGCGACTGGTGCCTCCTGCAGTTGGGGGGCACCTGGGGTCCCCCCGCCACAGCCAATCAACGAGCTGGGGGCACGGGTCCTCTTCCACAGACACCCTGTGAACCCTTTATAGCCAGGGCAGAGAGAGACCCTGCCTGAAGCCTGCCCAAGGACACAGTTGTATGAGAAGAGGAGGGCTGTACACAGGTAGCAGGGGGTGTACAAGTGCCATAGTGCAGCTGTGCTGTGGGAAGACTGGGTTCAACTGCCTGTGGGACTCCTGACACTTCCAGGTAGGCTCATGGCATAGGGCTGAGAAACTTAGCCTAGGTCCCTGGTAGGCAGTGTGTCCTGAGGCAAGTAAGCCCAGTTCTTGTGCTATGTCCTCTTCCCTTTCACAAGCCAACGATGGTAACAACACCTTGTGCTCTTTATTTGCAGAGCTCCTTGTCAAGTGGGAAAGGGAATCAGCTGAGGGGCCCCGGATGAGCGGTGGCAGAGCCGGGACTAGAATGCAGATGTCCTGAGCGTCACTCCCACGTTCTGCCCGCTGGGTTCTAAAGCAAGTATTTCTTAGGGTGAAATCTTTTATTGGACCAATGATGTAGTTGAAATGCAGTTAGACAAGCTTTCCAATGCAAGACCTTTTGGAGTAGCAGAGGGATCAGTGGTCAGGAATGGAGCAATAACACCCTGCTTTACTACAGTAGGCTGTCCCAGCTACATATTTGGTCCAATTAAAAAAAAAAAAAAATCCCCCTAAGAAATCCTTGCTTCTTGCATAATTTCTTGTCCATCACAACTGCATAAGTCTTACACTACCACTAGGCTCTAACGCAATGACTCAACCAGGGATATGAACGACACATGCCCCCGGAGGCTGGG